TTATTCTTACTGAACGAATGGGTTTACTTCGTGCGTGATAAATATTATTCTTACTGAACGAATGGTTTACTTTGTGCGTGATAAATATTTTTCTTACTGAATTAATGGTTTACCTTGTGCGTGATAAATATTCTTACTGAACGAATGGTTTATTTTGTGCGTGATAAATATTATTATTACTGAACGAATGGTTTACTTAATGTTTTTCTCATAGGTACTTATGGCACACATTTTATGTTAAATAATTTTTACTTGTCACAAGTATGTATCGAAATGAGATACTGAAAACAGAAAACACAAAAACCAGTTACTCTTAGCTTTCTCGAGCATTTATCAATCTCAAGGAAACTTTCACACTCTGTGTGGTTTTTTTTTTTTACTTTAACCAAAGTGTTTAGCTGCTTAACACTTATAAATCTTAATGAGGACGTTGTGTTTAAACAAAACAGAAATTTAAAGACTATTTCTTTGTTTTTTAAAGTTTGTTTTGCCTCGCAAAGCTACACAATGGGCTTTCCGATCTTAATCCACTGCAGGGATCTAACCACTATTTTAGCGTTATAAACCTTTAGGATTAGAGCTGGGCCACCGATGTGAGCGGAGGGGGGGGGGAGTCACCTTTAAACTTTTTAAGAGTTGGATAGTCAGCAGTGTCATTAGGTCAAATTGTGCAATTATGTGATTTTCATCCGTTCGTTAAAAGTGGGACAGTGGTATGTCTAAGAGGTTACAATGCTAAAATCTGAGGTTCGATTTTCCGCAGTGGCCACAGCAGATAGCCCAATGTGGCTTTACTCTAAAAAATAAACAAATTTTGAAAAATATATCGTATAGATATATATTTTTGAAGGGCACTTCTTCGGCAAACGAAAAACCAAAAACACGCATCAGGCTTTTCGAAATCTTTCATCTTACATTGTAAACATAAGAAGAAAATAAAACAGTGCTAAGCTAAATATGTGAACAAAATATACTACGTGACTAAAACAAAAAAATGAAAAGAATGTCAAACGAGATAAAACAGCCAATTGATCAAGACGTTTAAACTACTATATATCCAGTAATAAAGAAATTCCTAAGGTTACCAAGGGATACAGCAGAATTGACAACTTGGATAACATTTATAAAAACAACTTTAACAAATAAATTGCTAAATCAAAAATCCCACATTTTTCCTCAACTATATTTATAGGTATTCTTATATGTATCTCTACAAATAACTTTCTACGTTGTTTGTCGTTTAGTGCTTACAACATAACGTGATTATGTTAATATAGGCTTAGCCATGACCTGGTGATTGGGGGGTACTAATACCAAATTTACTGATCGCGGGTTCGAATCCCATTACTAAATATTTTTGTTTGGAATTAAGCACAAAGCTATACAATGGGCTATCTGCGCTCTGCCCACCACGGGTATCGAAACCCGATTTCTAGCCTTGTAAGTCCGCAGACATACCGCTGTGCCACTGGAGGGCTACTGAATATGTTTGGCCTTTTAGTCATCGGGGCGTTATAACGGTCAATCCCACTATTCAATTAGAGTACCTCAAGAGTTGGCGGTGAGTGGCGATGACTAGCTGCCTTCTCTCTTCTAATCTATCGCTTCAAAATTAGGGATGGCTATCGCAGGTAGCTTACGTGTAAGTCTGTGCGAAATTCAACAACCAAACAAATTATGTCAATACGAAAAATTAAACGTACTTTCAGTATGTTTATACTCTCCTGTGATATCTTCACGTTCAAAGCAACCAATTGCTTTAGTGCTCAGGAACTGGCCAATTCTGTAAAAGTATTACGAAGAAAATTTTCGTAAATTAAAAGCAATAGAAAAATAAGTTTATATATATATACTTGATTTGTGGTTAACTTGCATTTAGATATGAATAATCGGTACTTGTGTAAAAAAGTCAAAATCAAACAATTATTAATAATAAACAATTATATAATTAGTCAATTAGAATACCTTTATTGAAGCCATTATCGGCCTTAATTTAAAATCACACTACATGTTTCGACGTTACTTCGTCAATCTTCATCAGGCTTATTCATATTGACAGTGGAAACTGAACGTACAGTAACTACAGTCTGAAAGAGTTTACACGTAATTTTTACATATAATTTGGGAAATATTAGAAAGTAAAATTTTTAGCTATTCCAACATTACGTTTACACAATTGAAGCCATGTTAACTACTGACGATTTCATATCTAAGAATAAAAATAAGAATTTGGGCAAATAATATTATAAAATTACAATAAATGTTAGGACTATTTATTATTATTAGTGAATAAAATTCATTATTTAAAAAAATTGTTCAAAACAAAGGTGAAAATTATCTAATAAATATTATATAATTATATTATGTTATTTGTAGATATATATATATACTAAATTTCTAGTTACCTCGTCCTTTTATTTGTCATTAGAAAGCTATTGATCTGGTATCAACAAAACCGTTATCCTAATTCCAGATCTATATTCTCTATCCCCTTCCTTGTTTTCAAGATGATGGAAAGAAGCTTTACCTAAGACGTCTCCAGTATTGACTCTGTGTTACTTTCTTCAAGAGACTTGACTGTTAGATTCTTGTTGTTTTTTTTATGACAAGAAAATTAAACATAGAACTTACGTATCAGTTTTCTTGGCAATAAGCTTCAATGGTTGACTAGGTCCACGATACCTCCAGTAAACCTTATCAGCGTTGACTTCCGCAAACAAGAAACAACAATCGTATGGTTTCATAACTTCACCACGTTTTATTGCCGCCACACTAGCAGGACCGCACCTGTAAGCTCCTAAGATTAAGAGTTTTAAAATAGAATATAGTCATCAATTGCAGTTTAAATAACACAGTTTTTTTTTTATAATCTTTAACTTCAAGGACTGAAAACGGAGTGGAAGAACAATTACATATCACGTTAGTAAACAGAACTGAGGACCGAAAAGAAGTAAATATTTCTATGTCTGAAGAACATTACTGGTCTCCTAATGGTATATGTCACAAGTAATTGAAAGATGAGAAGTGGATATGTTCAAGAAAAGAAATATAAAAATGTAAGCGATTTCATTAGGTAGTAAGAACACGTTCTATTTTTAAAACTACAGTACTAATTACGAGCATCAAGCGCATATCTATGATTCAGAGAAACCTTGGAATAACTCAAACTTCCCGGACAGATACAGAAAGATCTGTCGTATACAAAATAACTGATGAAAAGTCTTTGAAAATATCAGCACGAAACTCATTAAGAGATGAGATCTAACAAAGGAAGCAATGGCTTGGGCATTTACCAGTTCTTGGTTTCCTTAACACAACATGTATACTAAATAAATTGAACTCCAAATGTGGAAATGGTTTGGGCATTTATCACAAAAACCAAGAACTGGAATAACAAGAAGTTACTAACTTGGAATCTAAAGGTGGCAACGATGGATTGGGCATGTATTAAGGAAACCAAGGACTGGCATAACAAGAAATGTATTAAGTTGGACTCTAGAGGAGAGAAGTAGAAGTCCACATAAAAAACCTGGAGTTCAACAACTAAATGCGAGATTAAAGAAATGGGAAAAACTGAGAAGTGATTGAGGAACTAGCTAGGGATATACAAGGTTGGAGAGTACAAGTTCATGACTTTTGGGCCACAGAACATATGAAGAACTAGCTAGGGATATACAAGGTTGGAAAGTACAAGTTCATGACTTTTAGGCCACAGAACATATACAAAATCAAAAATATACTCGTTCTTTAGGAAAATTATTTAAACGTTTACTTTTATTACAAATATACGTAATCATTTGGAAGTAATATATGAATATCTTTATTTCAATAGTGTGTAAACACTTTAAAACACAGCACTATACTGGCGCAATATGTGTTTCTAGTAAAAAAAAAACACACTCGATAACAGCATTTCAGCTATACACAGTTTGTTGTATATCGTTGTCGATTATGCTTCTCACTCCGCATCAAACCGCTCGTCTTCCAAACCACTATACAAGGTTATTTAATTTGTTTAACATCGTGTCATTTAGTACACAAAGTTTACATATATTTACGATGTATTTGTTTCATTACCATTATTATATGAATTTTGAAACCTATTTGATTTCGTGTTGTCGCTTAGTTCGTAAACACTTATTATGTTATTTAACTTTTTATACAGCTGTTTCCTTAAGGAAAGTTATCAACTTTCTTTACACTGTAAAGAACAAAGCAAACAAAATGTATCTAATTTTTACCATCTGACTCTTCTTGCGGGGTTGCATCGATAGCTTGCCAACCACCATAACCACCAGGTTCTAGATCAGGTCGCTCCATCCATGCCTCGTTCCACACGTGGAAGTTCCTATATTCAAAAAAAAAAATAATTTTCGAATCAGTTTCTAACCTCGAAACACTGGATCGAGTTATTAAATAAACATTGTCAGTGATTACAAAAAGCTTTTGCACTGTTTTTAATTATGCACAAAGCTACACAAGGGCTATCTGTGCTCTGCCCACCACGGGTATCGAAACCCGGATTCTAGCGTTGTAAGTCCGCAGACATACCGCTGTGCCACTGGGGGGCACCTTTTGCACTGAGGTGCAATAAGTGTTAACTGTTATTAAACAGTGCGTGATCTCAAAAATAATGCAGAGAAAACGCTCTTCGAATGAACTGGAACGCACTGGAAAATGGCGGAGTTTATTGAAAAAAAAAAACCTAACTTGAATCATAGAATAATGATTGTTTTTGTAGCAAAGCCACGTTGGGCTATCTGCTCTGTCCACCTCGGGAAATCAAACCCTGGATTTTAGCGTTTTAAGTCCATAGACTATAGAATAATGAAACAAATATTGTTTGATCTTGAAGGTAAACATTTTCAAACATAACTTTATATCTTGAAGGAATAATGTCAGATATAAATCATACGATTTAATAGAACAACACAGCGAAACAATGCTTAAAATGTATAAATTCCTGATCAACTCACATAAAACCTTTCATTTATGTGTCTTGATATGCATTTGAATGAAATCCTAATAAAAAGGAACAGATCTTTAATTAAATCTCAAATTCACAAATGGGTAACTTGACAGTCTAAGATAAAGCTTTTAAAAACAAAGACTCAATTTTCAATTTACAGTCTCTTAGTAAGAAAAAAAAAAA